TTTATTTATTATAAATGAAAAAAAGAAGGAAAATCGAGTAAATATGAAGACTGTCAGAAATCGTGAAAAAATATAGGGTTTACGAAGCTTGGAAAAAGGAAAATAGAACTAAAGAAGTTCAATCGTATAGATGGTGGTGTAATTTTGACAAGATTAGAAGTCTCTTCGCACTGTAATTTCAGAAAAATCGTCAAATCACAAACATACGGATAAATAAAAACTACTTCCTTCATAACGTCTATCTTCAATTATGAGTGAGTTACTTGATAAAAAGTTATTATAAAAATGAAAATTCACTTCAACTATTATTTTACTATGCATAATTAATTAAATAAAAATAATTTATAAAAATCTAAATTAAAAAAATTTAATTTTTCAGTCTTTACAATAGTATTAAAAGCTATTTATAACAATATTAAACAAATAATATAAAATGAAATATGTAATATAATTGCATATCAATTAATGTATTAATTATATGAAATTCACAAAATACTATACATTACAAGTTTAATTAGCAAAATAACCATTTACACAAAAATTATAATATAATAATATAAATATGGAATTTTTAATTCAAAGGATGCATGTATAAATTATTAACAATACAAAACGTCATATTAATTATAACTAAAACAAATCGTATTTAAAAATAAATTAGATTCCAAAAATTTTATTCTTCAATAATTTTAGAAAATAAAAAATCTGTAAATACTGTTTCAATTAAAAGTGTTTATTTTTGTTTTTAATAAAAGACTTTTAATATCCAATCAAAATGAAGATTTCTGAAATTTCGATCGGAGTATTCAAAAAATTGATAATGCTACAGTTTTGCACACTGTTTTGTGAACATCCTCACGCTTAAATTCTTTTTAGTCAAACTAGACGAAATTTTCAAAAATTTCAAATTCAAAATATAGGACCGTTCAGAAAAAGACCATTATATTTTTCCCGGATGCTCTACGCAAAAAAATGTTGTGAGCCTTCCCAAAAAAAAGTTGTTGGATGCTACTCGAACAGGGACAAAACTTTTTCGACTGGGAAGCCCTTGTAAGACCGGATAATCTGATTATATGGGGCCCCGCTAAAAAGAAGAAAAGAAGAAAAGAACTGTCGTCACATGAAGATATAAAAGATTTAATGCACGCGTATGCAAAACTCATATTTTCCCGTATTGCAAAAATTCGAAAGATTCTTATTTTTTTGCGTCAGTGATTATCACACGACGGAATAAGTTATAAAAACTAATTAAGACAATATAAAAAATAATATAACTGATCTAATATACCTAATCATACAAATATATACAATATATATAGATACAAAAAATATATACAAATATAACTGATCTGATTGAATTCTATAAAAAAAAAAAACAGAAGTAGATAAAATAATCTGAAAAATCTAAAGGTGAAAATTCAAAATTTTATCAATTTCTAGAAAAAGGAATTCTAAGGAATCCCGTTTCAGAAATCTGCTTTTAATATTTTTTTTTTTTTTTTTGACAACTTTTTGTAGAAGTTTCAATTTTTTATAGAATATTTTTAGAATGAAAAAATATAACATTATCATAGTTGAGGACGTAAAGAAACTTACTGTCTTATGTCAAATAAGTTATAGAATCTCTAATAAAAATATACATTTATTCTCCCTAAAAATAATTATATATATTACGTTTTCTTACGGATTTTCGAAACTTATAAACTAATATTTTTACAATATTCAAATATACTCTCACACTGCTCAATATTACTTTAAAATATATTTCTGATATCTATGACTTAGTAAAAATTTTTTTCCATTAATTTGTACGTTTTGACTGACTTCACTTTCACTGCAAAAACGATTTATATCTTAGATCACAAGTAGGCCATACGTTATTTATATGAGGAATGCTCTTGTGTTTGGCTGTATGAATCAATTTTCTATTTCTCGAAGTCTAGAAGTTACCAATTATTGATGAGAACATCGTAATGGATCAAGAAAACACTCCAACGAATGAGTATCTATCATACATTAGAGCACTTTAGATACCACTTTACTAACAACAATATATTTATATTAAATAAATGTTGTTAATTCAACAAGGATTAATTGACTAATTGTCAATTACATTATAATTAATGATTATTACAAAGGTAATTCACAAACGTAATAAAAATTTTGCAATAAAATCTTGCAGTACATTACAAATTCTACTCCTATCCTCAGTAATGTGCATTAGCAATCGCTTCAAGTTATACACCTATCCGTATTAAAATTTTAAAGAGGTATTTTCATATTAAATATGTTTCTTATTGTATTAAGTATCTCAGTTAAATTGAATCTAAAAATAAACTAATAAAAAATACACAAATTTTGTTAATTCTTAACTTTCAAGAAATTTAGTTATTACACTTATTGAAAATATATTTATGAAATCTTATTTAATTAATAAATTGAATAACCAATTTATTCAAATCAATTTTCAATAGTCAATTTTTGTTTTCAATTTGGATGGTACTTATAAATTAGTACGTAGTGTATTATTTCTTGCATGTAACCTTATCAATCATAATCATTGATTTATTTTTACTGATGTGACATTACACTTAAATGTGTATTATTTAAATAATTATTCTGTACATTCTGTATAGTTATTTTATTATTATATAATTATATCATAGATTGATTAGATCAATATACAAAATATATATCATTTAATTGATTTAATATATTGATAAATAAAAATTGAAATAATTTAAATCATCAACTTTTAATATATATCTAAATACTGAATATGATAAATAACCATTAAATAAATAACAAATAATCTTTAATTTAAAAATAACTTTCTAATTATGTCTCTCACATAATGAATATGAAAAAATATGAAAAAAGTAATTATCTTTAAAATATAATAAATTTTTACTTATATATGATATAATTTATATATCCCATACGAAATTATATGATTTATTATATTTCAAACCATAAAAAATTGTATAAAATTTTGATATATTAATATATATTTAATTGATATAAACGTTATAACTTCATAGAATTTTCAATGAAACAAAATTAATTTAAAAACAGTATATTCTGTATCTCTATCCCTCATATATTTGAATATATTTAAAATTTGTATTTTAGTATGATAATGATTAATATAATACTGGATTTTAATTATAATAATTCATACCGACAGACCCACACATATACATACCTATTTAATATTTATATCAAATTACTTTATATATTATTAGCATTACTATGAACATATATGTGTAAAATTTTTCAATTTAGTATTTTATTAATTTATAGTTAACATAAAATTAATCTAATATAGAATTGATAAAAAATAGATATCAACTAATCGAATATTCTATGATTAATCAATCGATCTTCTATGTATCACCAATTCTTACGATTTAAAAATATATAGAGCACCATTAACATTTCTATACCTTCATTATAATTTTCTATATTACATAGAAAAATTAACTGATATTAAGAACTTGATATATATTATATTTCCTTAATTCTATTCCCTCTATTACTGTACAATTATATAATTTAATAATATTCGATATTTGCAACGTTAAATAAAGAAAGAAAGAAATGGGAAGAACAAAATTTAAAAAAATTAGAAAACGGTTTTAACGTATTCTATTCGTTACTTTAATGCAAAACATACAACTATAAAGTAGAAACGCATTAATAAATATTACAGTCAATCGTAAGCGTATAAACAGCAAAGGTATGCAAAGACAATGCAATTTACCTGTTATATAGTTTCAGCAAGATGCAACTTATGAATACAATAAACTATGCCTGGTTGATAAATGTGACTTCCTTAAACACCTAATTATGAATATATTGTAATTTTTTTATCATATATATGATAAAGAAACTGCTGCTAATAATTAAATCTTATCAAAAGCAAATTATTATTACTTATGTAACATATAGCAACAACATAGTTCTTTGTTTACAATAATCAAAAAATTTTATTTTTTATTCGATTATGAACTCTTTTCTTTATTATTTACCATAATGCAGTTTAAATTACTTTTAAATATTTTCTTCAAAACATTCCTAACCACTACAATTTTTAAATGATTAGAATAAAACTTATTTGAAAGTTCCAATATTTATATTCATTTAATTTCATATAATAAACACGGCTGGATTTTAATTTTGAAATATAAATTTTAAAAGATACATCACTGTAAATAACTTAATTTCATTAATTTGCAAAACTAATTTTAAATTAAATTAAAACTGATAATATAAAATAGACAATTTGTCTACGTATATATAAAATAATATATAGTAGCACCACTGAAACACTATTGTTATTTTTATTAAGATTCATTATACTTTATTTAAAATTTGTCTTTTCACAAATTTAAATTTAAATTGAAATATTTGAAACAGTCATTCACAATGCTCCACAGAAATGTATGTTTTATGAATACCAAATTGTTTTACTATTATTATTGAGCAAAATTTATTTTCCTATTTTCATGCAATTACCCAAAATTTTCGGTATTACTAAACCGACTAGAAAAATTCCAAATTTCTATGAATTTTATAATACAGAGATTTTTATTTTATCATCTGTTTTTAGATATTAAAGTTGTACAAATACAATTTCAAATAATAATAGTTATTTTTAAATGACTATTAACAATTAATTCATTTTTTAAAACTATTAATATCTTGTTCCTTCAATCAATATTATCATAACACCTAAAATAATTTATGCGATCCACGAAATTTTCTGATAATAAATGTTAAAATATTTAAAGTAATATATTTTAAGCAATTTTTAAAGGAAATACATCTATCATCTAGGATTTTTATTACTTATCCAATATTAAAGAACTAAATATTTAAATAATTCTTTTTGTAAATTATTGAACAAATATAGATTATTATATGCGTGTGATCTATGGAAGGAATATTATTTCTGCCTTTATCTAAGACTTTATCCTTCAAACCGTAACACAATTTGGTATCTCTTTAAATAATCTAAAAACTGCTGCTTCATTAAGGAAGAGACACTACTATTATTAAGTCACAATTATATTCTATATATTCTGAGGTAGGAAAGTACCACTGCGCTGCGCCGGAGGCTGGTAAATCTGTTGGGCACTACGCTGCTGACCTCGCCTTCTATAATTTTTTCCACTTGCTCCTGAACTACCGCCCCGGCGGTACTCAGTGGCTGTCAATAAATTCGTTTTTTATAATATTTATTTGCTGATTTTATTCACATGTATTATACAAAATGTATTGTCGTGAATAACGTTAAGTAATAAAGAGCGTCTTGAAATATTTGAACAATTATTTCTTTATGAACACATTTTAACTGATATTACATTAAACATTATTCAATTTTCCAGTATACAACTAATACAAGTATTCTATTTAATTTAATTTTATAAATATATTTATAAACAAAATTTTCAAAAAATCTGTTGGGTATTATTATTTCAAGTATCATACTTCACAAAAAAATATTACAATTGATAATTTAAGTTTTATTATAAAATAAATTTATTTACATTTAATTAATTATAAAAGATATTCGTAGAAATATAGAAAAAAATATAACTGTATAAAAATTGCAAATTAATTAAATAATTCTTTTATTTTTAATTACCATTTGAATTAGTTTGGCTATGTTCAAATCGAGGAGGTCGAGTTTTTGAACGATGATCAATCCGGCGATTATTATCTTGGCCAAAATTTTGGATTTGTGGATCCTAAATAAAACGATTACTTAAATTCATGTAAAAATTTATATAGTGCTAAAAGAAAATTGAAACTTACTTCTTCTGTTACTGGTATGCAATCTACTTGAAGAACTTCTTCATAATTATGAAAATCTTTAAATAGTACAACACATGTCGTTTTAGAAACTGCCGTTACTTCCGCGTTATAATACTGAAATATTTAATTTATAGGTATTAAAAAAAACATCAATAGATAACGTCAATTCTTCAAACGATTAAAATGTTTTACATTCAATTATATATGTTGTATATACAAATTCATACACAATTAATTAATACAACTTATTAAATAATATGTATATTCAAAATAATATAAATATTTGTTGAAAAATTGTATTATTTACTTTTGAAAATTTTATTAACTCAAAATATTTTTTACCATATTATCTTCCCAATATTTTGCCATACATCTATCGCCTACTCGCCATATCCATGTACCATCTAGTGGTTCGTTATTTTTGTTATTACTATTATAATAACTATTATATTTTTGATTATCTACATCAACAAATCCTTGAAATTCTAAATTTTCATTAGGCGTATTATAATAATTATTCAATTGAGTTCCCTTATAACTTTGATCTAGAGCATTAGGCTGATATAATCGTTGATCCATTTCCTGTACATAACCATGTTGAAAATGATTCGTATCATAATTCTGATTTCTACTATTACTAATTACTTTTGTTTGATAATCATTGTGATTCAATTTGAAAGAATTATAATTTCAAGAATATTAAATTTTAAACATATTTGTCACATGTTACAGAAGACATTAAGATCAAGCTTGAAAAAAGAAACTATATTATTTTTAAATATTAAGACAAAATCAGTTCATAATTTAACAAATTAGTTTTAAGAAAATCGAAAAAATATTTGAAAATATTTAAAACGTAAGATTGCAATTTAAATACAGATTTTAGATAATTATTGAAATATATTTCAAATTATTAAAATTAGGAAGTTTTGCAGTCGGTTATACGTTTACAAAATAATATCATTAATTGTAAATATTTTTTTCATTTCATCATCAATGACAGAGACGAACAATATAATTAACGTTTATTAATTTATAAAAATTATAATACGCAGTTTATAGTAATAATAATTCCTATGGAATAGAAGTTCCTGTTCTCTTTTACATTAATTACAAAAACAATAAGCATTGTTTACTCTTAAAGACTGCAAAATAAATTTAAAAATTATACATTACTTTAGTAACATAATCTGGATGATCTTGCTTAAAAGTATTTGCAGAAAAATCGCGGGGTGCAGTATTTTGTCGAGATTGAGAAAATGGTACTATAGTTGTCATCGTGTTTTTAAATTCGTTCACTTGGGGAAACTGGTTATAATTGCCAATTGGCTCCTGTTGATAGTTTGAGTATTGTTGATTTAAATTTTGATTTTCTTGATTACGTTGAAACCTTGGAGGTTTAGTTTTTTGAGAATTTGTGCCTCCATATGACCCATACTGTTGATTACCTGTCATGTTACTTGAATATTTACTTAGTCGATTTTCTTCTAAATGTCTTGGTGGAACTTGATAACCTCGATTACCTCTTGAATTTCTTTAAAATCAATCAAAAATATTAGTAAAGATAGAATCATTAAATACATTTGAATAAATATATATAGTTATTAAAATGAATTTTTATAACATTAAAATTATTTTTCAAGTTTAAAAATCATTAATAATTTTATATATAATTATATACCGTTTGTTTACAACAATTAAAATTGTAATACATAAATTTTTTAAATTAATAAACCTATTTTTTCTTTTAACACATTGAAGTTATAATAAAATTAATAAAAAATGTATTTGTGTAAGAATTTATTGCGATATATATTTAGTATTTGTTAAATTATCATAGTAAATATAATAGTAAAATATATGATTCAAATAAATTGTAAATAAATTTCAAAATCAATTTAATAAATATATTTAAATCACTATGTCACTTTTTAATCACTTATTGTAATCACTATTTTAGTCACTATTTTATTTTATATATAATTTTGATTTTGACATAAAAATCATGAAATTGCTTAAAAATAAATTAAATAGCTAGAAAAAATAAAATTAATAATGAAAGTATTAACTAATTTAATAATAAAAAATAATTTAAAAACGGCATATTTTATTTTACCTTCCACCTCTTCCAGAATGTGAATATTCATTATTTTTAGAATGACGATCAGAATAATTTTCTAATTTATCTTTTCCATAAAAATCAGTTAATTGTGCATTAGTTGTATTCGCAGTTTCAATCTGTGCAGGCAATTTATCTTCAAGGAAGTCAAACAATGATATTCTTCCACTACTTGGTTTACTAACGTCATCCATCTTTTTCTCTCCTCTTTTCCCTTTTGGTTCACGCGCCTCACGTGGCTCTCCCCGCGTATTACTATAAATATAAAAGAATTTAAAAATAATAATAATTATTTAAGTACATAAAAATGAGTCAATTTATCCATATTGATTAATTTATATATTTAATATATAATTGAAATGTACTAATATATCTAAATTGACACAAGTATTAAAGGAATTTGTTAAAATTAAAAATAAAATAAAATATTTCCTTACCTATTGTTTTTATTATCATTTCTCTGTAAGGTTTTAAGAGCACGGTCAACATTATTTCGATTTATCCTTAAGGCATAATCAGCCTGTTCTATAGAGAAACCTTGATCAACAATTCTTTGAACACTATGATCTAATAGCTATAAAAAAATTAATGCACTATTCAATTTCATCAAAAAATATTAAGCGTTAAGATATTTAAATATAAAAATAATACCTGTTTCGTACCACCTCCAAATACTTTTTTATTTCCTTGTTTGGCAGCTTCTGCAATAGCATTTTTGCGCTGAGCTTCAAATTCTGCATTCTCTTCAGTAAACTTTTCCTTTTCAGCAAGTGCTTTAAAATTTTTTCCATGCTCTATAATTTTTACAATTTTTTTACCGAAAGGAATCCATGGTGGTGGTCCACCTTCTTCAACAGTTCTCACTCGGCTATGTAAAGCCAATTTCTAAAATTATAAAAACTATTTAATATAAGCTTATTAAAATCACAAAATAAGATATTCTTGAAAAAAAAATACCTTATTCAATTCCCACTTTTCTATAAGACTTGCAACTTTACCTCCAAGAACTTGAACAATATTAAAAGGTTTTAAAAGAAAAATTCCATGTGACATAGGCAAAGATCCACCTCTAACTAATAATTTTGTACCTGGAGGTGTATTTATACTAAAATATGAAGTATTTAATAAAAAATGAAAAAAACTACATAAAAATGAACATTAAATAATATTATTCTGATTATTTATATTGCGTTAAATAGGTTATACATCATTAAAAACACTTACCTAATGGAAGATATACTTTCTATTTCAATTGCTTGATAGTTATTTTTTCCATCTGTTAAGGACAGTTTAAGCATTCTAGGAGCGCCACGGGACTCTTCATTATGTTTTGGAGCAGCTATATTACGTAGCTTCTGAATTTGTAATACAACATCTCTCTGATTTAAATTTCCATCTCCACTACCAATCTCTTTTAAATCATGCTGTAATATTTAAATTCAAATTTATATCCTCCTATTTTATGTTTTAGTTGCATTAAAGATAAAAATATAAATTTAATATCAAATTTCACAATATTTATCATAATAATGATATATATATGCTCAAATATCTTACTTCATTAGCACGTTTTATAATCTTCTGTACATCAGTGATATTACCATAATCACTAACAACTTCAAAACCTGGATCTGTTAAATACCTAAAGTGTAATAATCAATTATTTAACTATTTTAAGGGTAATCATAAAATATTTTTAAGTATACAGTAGTTATAAAACTTTAGTTTTTTTTCAACACAGTTCAGGTAAAATTATGTGTAATGTAAAGACATTATAATTTATAGTATTAAATATAAAACAATTTAAAATTTTGTACTAATAAAAATAATAACTACTTCCTTTGTTATATTATATATATATTGATTTCATAACACTGTATGTAACAAAAATAAATAAATAAACAGAACAAAGTCTTGTAAAAATTCGAATATAATAAGAATATTAAAAATAGTTTTTCAGTAAAATCATAAGAATAATCTCTATATATGGAGCATACGCAAACTTACCAACCACACTCCCGAAGCTTATCCTTTAAAGCGATCGTCATGATCAATAAAAAACTATCCAATTAACTCTAGATTTTTAAAAAAAGTGAAGGCCTACATTATCCACTTGTTTCAACTTAAAAAACCAAACAATTTCGGTAAATTCTTTTTGGTAAACATTCGGTCAGCTGAACAATTTTTTTTTGGTTAAGGGCACTGAAGCTGAGACTTTCTGTTTTTTCCAGAAATTCTAATGAAATCCAGAAAATTAATTGTTAATAATTGAACTTGAAAAAATAATAGATTTTTATATGAATTGAATAAACTATTAGAACACACAGATATTTTATCGAACCGGAAGAATTAGATACACCTTTATTCGATTCGTCTTCATGAGGGCAGCCATTTTGATTTATTCTACAATACCTGTAGCGGTTAAGTTTACTATTCCACTGGATAAATATAATAGGATTGTACAATCTTATTACGTATAGATTTTATTTAGTTTTATTTAATTTAAAGTAAATTTCCGTCCATATGAAATTATATTATTACTATCCGCACGATTCCAATATCGAAAAATCTATTTGGTGTTCATAATATCACCGAATTTTAAACAATAAGTTAATACAATATAAAGAATTTTTAGAAAATTCAAATCTCTAAAATTATTCATGGGATGATGCATATTACTAAAAAATAAGATTTTTTAAAAAGAAAATTTTTTTAAATTGTTTTAAATACAAACAGAATTTACTTGATAATTATTACAATATAACTCAGGAAAATTAAACCCATTAATTAATTTTATTATAAAATGCTTATTGAAATATATAGTGATAATGTGTTTTATATTATGAAAATAATATAAATTATTTGAAAATTTTTATTTATATTATAAAATATTATTTATATTTCTGTACTATTGTTTTATATTGCATAAATTTATTTAATAAATTTTTAAACATTATATTTAGTAAAAGTAAATAATATGCAATTCTTAAAATATACTTGTCAATGTAGTTAAGAAACTTAGTTTATAATCTCACATTGTTAATATAGCATTTTGTTAAACAATAAATCAGATAATATTTCTTAAATTATAACAATATTAATTAGTTCAAAAATTTTATTTAATAAATTATTTTATAATGATTTTAGTAGAGCTCTAAAAATAAATTAATTTTTCTAATTTGCGGGAAATAGGTTACTTCATTATAAGAGATGAGTCAAGTATTTCTTGATTCCAATTTGAAAATTTAACCTGTTCATATTATTCTTCGAATTTAATAGAAAATTTTTTCAACAAATATATTTTAACATAATATAATGCAGTATTCGTTTTATTGTATCTGTAATTTTAAAAATATATAAGAGAATATTACTTCAAATTAAATATAATAAATAAATATAAAACATTCAGTTTAATAAATTAATTCTTAAAATTACGAAAGTAATTAATATTAAAACAATTAGTATAATATTTTAGTTATAATATAACATAGAATATAATAATTTAAAATATTTATCATATGATAATATATAATACATCGATACTTTTTATAGATTTTTAAGAAAATTAATTATACCTAAACATGTTTAAATTTAACATAACTTTTTAATATAACTTCTCTTCGTATTAATTTGAAAATTCTTTTATAAATTTATTAATAAAAAATATCTGTATTTATACCATCAATATTTATAAATAATAAAAAATTGAACAAAAATTAAATTAAATAAAAATATCAATCCCAATGTGCTATAAATTTTTTTTTTATTATTAAAATCTATATTTACATTTTTTTTAATGTTCTTGACAACAAAAATATAGTAAAATATTTTTTATTATTTAATCAATAATAAAAGACTCAATTGTATTTTATGAAATTTTTATTAAAAGAAATAGTACTATTTTAAAAATTCTGATACAATTTAAGTATTCTATTACGAACGATAATTCGATCGATCATGAATCATATATTTTGCAATATTCAATTTTAATTGTTTAAAATATAATACATATTCATTTTTTTATTTTATATAAAGTAATATTTAATACTAAAATATATATCTAAAATTATATATATCTAAATATATATATATGTTTACGTAAAAAAAATAAATACGTATTGCATTTTAAACAATTAAATGTAAATTAATTAAACACATTATTTCGAAAACAACGTAAAAATATTTATTCTAAGAATAAAATGAACTAAAACGTTATGATTTCAAAAGTTGCATGAAAAAAGTCTACATTTCTCAAAACTGATTTTTAATTGTATTTTTAAGGGATTTTTAGCATTTAAAAATATAATGTAAAAATATTAATTAATCAATAATTTATTCTAAAAGTTCTTGATGTTAAAAATTGAAAAAATTAAACTTTTTGTTTTAAAGTTAGAAATAATTATATGAATTTTTTAAATATAATTATAACATCAAAATAAAAATTAAAATAATTAATGAATTTTAATAGACATCTACTAAGAGTCACTTTTTCAATATTATTCAATAAATTATATTTACTTAAAGCTTATGAAAATTATTAAATTTATATCGTTTACGAAATTTTATTTACAAATTTAACACCTAATTTTTATCTTTTACAGAATAACTTATAGATCTTTCATTTTTCCTATGCAGCTCTAATAATTGATAAATAAACATTTAAAAATGTATGATCTCAAATAATTTTAATTTTAATTTGAGCAGTCTATGCAAATAAGATTAAATTAAATAGTAATAGATTAAATGATGAATTAATTATATTAAATTTACATTACAATAAAACAGATTAGTGAAATACTTAAAAAATTTTGTAAATTTAAAACTTCAAATTTCCTTAGGTTTCCTTACGTATACAAAGTTTATTAAAAAAAATATTTTATATTACAATGATTGAAAATCCAAACAATGAATTATTTGTTTATAAATGTACAGTTATTTATATGAAATATTTGAATTACAATATATACATCTTGTAAAGAGGTAATAAGATTTTCAAAATAATATTTTTTTAATTCCTTTATTTAGTATTTAAAATATTTTTTAGCAATAATTTCAAACAATTTAAAATAGTTAAAAGAAATTTGCCAGAAATAAATATTTTTACAGAAACACAGAACGGAACACAGAAAATATTAAGATTTGAATTAAATCGTAAATCTCCTTTTACACCTGTAATAGGGAATTCTTTTATATATTTCTAATAAAGTATCTGAAAAGAATGTAAATAGATTTTTTCTTTTGTTTCTATAAAAATATATATTGCTTTATACATACACACACGCTTACATTTGCATATATGTGTATATGCACTATGCATATATATAGGCGTACTGTATGATAAATATTTTGCTATAAAAAATAAAAATATTATTATAAAAATAAAAATTCTCATTATTTAATAATTAATATTTAAATCGATGCTATTGATAAATAATTAACTTTAAAGTAAAATATTTATTTCTCAAAACATAGTAAAATAAATTAATGTAAATAAATTCAGTAAAAAATATTTTTAAATTTATAATAAAAAAATATAATTGTTAAAGAAACTATTTCTAAATTTATAATAAAGAATGTCAAAATGCATCATTTAAATATTAACTAGTGCTTTGTATTAATATTTATTAATATTTATAAACGATTTTTTTTCTATTATAAATATTTGATTCGTTATCTCCTAATATAGTAAAATCAATTTTGAACCTTTCGTAAGATATTAAATATGTTAAATTTTAGTTCTGTCCATAGTTACTATAAATAAATATTGTTACGGTCATATGAATAGGATTTTATTTGAAAATTAGGCAAACAATAAACAATAAATAAAGATAAACAATAGATGCGTGAAAATAGCTATAGTAACATCAAATAATGATATATTAATAGTTTCATATTTTATCAAAAATTCTATAAATTATAATAAATCCACATCTATTTTTTCAAATTATTTTATTTTGTAATATAAACAATAATTTTTATTCAAACTACATCATTATAAAAGAAAATTATGGTAATTAAGATACAATTGTTTAATTTTTCTTTTTTTTGTTTTTAATTTTTTACTTTTGATTAATTATAATTAATTTTGATATGAAATTACAAATAAATAGTCAATGGAATATTGTAATAATTAAATAGAATTTAATCTTTATATAATACAAATTCAATTTTTTTTTAATTTTAATACTTTCTTCTAATTACGCTCTTGTCAGTCAGAGATTTTTAAAATGTATTTGTAGTTGTGCATTATATATTATTAAACAATTTAAAGCACACTTTACTAAATTTATTTAATAGATAAAGAAATAAGTTTACTAATAATTTTCTTTTAACTTTTTATGAAAATTTCACGAGTCATACATTATATAATTCATTTCCTCATGTGGGATAAAAATTTTCTCACGTTAATATTTTCTTGAGTTTTTCAATACATACTTTTATAGAAGTTATTGAATTTAAAAAAAAGAAATCAACAAAAATTGATGCTTTTTCCATCCTTTTTTCATCAGTTAAAAACAACAGATAAAATTTATTTCTTTTATATAATTTTTAATAACGCAAAATCAAGTGAGATTTAAAAAATGTTTGTTCAACAATGGATGAAAATGAAAAATATTTATACTTATTTAAAATTATATACTATTTTATTATTTTTCTATCAAGTCCTACAATGGATCTTATTTTTAATATTATAATAATTGTAATATAAAAAAGAACCTGGAAGGTGTGAATTTACTAAATAAAATTCTAAACTCCCCTTAATAGTACTGTTCAAATATTTATGTAAGAAAAATCTTTTTCTTTATTGGTAAATTAAGCAAAGACAAAAAAAAATTTCAGTAACTATTTTAATATAAATATATAGATAAAATCAATTCCAATTTTTAGAAAATCTTCGAGTCTCTCTTTCATCTCTTTCAATAATAGCTGCAACTTGTTCCTAAGAAATATTTACCGACCCAAAAATAACAGATTACCGAGTCGAAACAGCAACCGACGCTTGAAATCCCAGCATAGAATAAGAAATATCATAAACCGACAATCGCCATGGCGATAGTCGTCAGGGCCTTCGTTTCTAAGCAATTATCCATGGTAAACATAAACACAAGGCCGCGATAGGCATCGCTCGCATATCTAAGCGAGATCTCACCCCGAACCCTAGCTGCTAATGAGATTACAAAAAGCCGCGAATGCGTGAGGTGCGCACAAGGAGTGCTGATGAGAGCGACTTGACGGAGAGGGGGGAGCGACGAAGGAGAGGGAAAGGCGTCGTCGGCGAAATATAGCTTACCTGCCACTGCCTCGGTTTACCTCCGGCAGTCCACCTCGAGCACCAGTTCGGTATAGAACAAATCGCGCGCGCGACTACCATAGACTTCTTCGAGTGGACACGCGACTATATCTCGTCCCTCTGTGTCCAGTCTATGTGGCGCCAATACCGCGCTTCTCAACTCGTTAACGACTTCTCCGGTGTGTATTATCGATCTCTTTCTCGTCTTCAAGCCTTCTCCATAGTCGCGCGCTTTTATATTAATGTCTTTTCATTAGCAATGGCGGGAGGCCGATTTTAAATTCTTTGTTGATTTTAAATTTAACCACGAAACACCGAATTTGTAGCATTTTTCATTTATTTGTAATCAAGTATTTCAACACGGGGCCTCGCGTTTTATCGCAGTATCTCGCTAAGTACGATCGGCCTAGAATCACCAAGGGCGTCACGTAATTTACGGAACTCTCTTCGCCTGGACATCCTCATGAAGAGGATCATCCTAATTACATGCATATTTCGCTGTCAGAAGTTCCATAAAGTAAACTGCGCTGGCAACTTGGGGAAACTCGGGTCGAAGTAATTGAAAACATGGTGGTGTATCGCTAATCGGGCACGTGGGTTGGGGGGAAATAATAAAACCGACGTGGGGCACGTGTGCGAGAACGCAGTATAGAAACGATTTCTTGACGGATCCTGTGGTATTTATTACAGATCGGCCAACGGTGAAACAGGATTGGAAGGTCGTCTTCGCGAGCCCGCCACGCCAATTTCAAAAGTAAGTACTAATATGCGCGCGCGCATCGCGGTTCTCCTTCAAGTTAATAAGTAGGTTAGAACGAGAGACCGGCGAGGACGATTTTCTATTTGAATGCCGGACGCGACGATTGCGCCGAAACGAAAGTGAGCACTGTCGGCGGAGTCCTTCGTTGTCCCCTGGCCGCTTACTGAACGAGACATTCCAAGCACACCTGCATGAGATAGAGCTCATCTCTCTTGAAGACTCATTGGGGTACCTGATGCCATCAACAACGATCAATTCTTGTTTTTAAGAGTGTCGTGTGTTGAAAGTGTCCGTGGAATTCGTGATGACGGTTCCGGGCACGGCCTTTGAATCTTTTTTAAATTTTGTTAGTAATGATACAAGCGGGATGCTTGAAACTCATGTTTTAAATTCTCAACCGCACCTACACGGTTGCCTGGCATATGATAATGCAAAGTCAACTTTACTAAGCAGTGTATTTCACATTACACTTCGAGTCCTTTATGTGTTTGCGACTTTGCAAATATCACACGTTTTTTGTTATTATGGTATTATTATAGACACTTTTTTAATAATAGGATTAGTTTAACTTTTACGGTTTAATCATTTGATCGTGTCATTAATAATGAAATGATGTGGGTATGTGGGCGCGTGAGCCTGAGCGCGTGCATGTGCATGGAGGAACAATATATAAAAGTGACAAAAGCATGTTTATTGAAACAAATTTATTCAGTTACGTAAAACATTTCTTATATATCTTTAAATCAATACTTCTTTTTCTATTTTTTCTTCTTAATATTAAAACAATTTAATGTAAGTATCCGTTATTTGGCATTTACAACAAAATGTATAACATATTCATCACACAATTATTTTATATTTTAAATACGCATACAAGAATGTAAAAATGTTAACACAAAAAAAATTGGATAACCTTCTCTAAATTAAATGTGATAAAAATAAAAACTACAGCATTCATGATAGCAGAAAAATTGATAGCTTTATAAACGTAGCTTATTAAGAAAATTGTTTGCATAAATAACACGCAAACATTTCTTCGATTAAACGGCAATAGAGCTAAATAATAATATAATAATAAATATTGTTATTGTTTCTGTTGTTGCTGTTGCTGCTATTCATTATTCACTTATATAAATACACGTTTATATAAACTGATCTTATTGTACTTCGAAGAAAATGTTCAATGAAATATAATATAAAACATATATAAATATATTGAAACATGTTATTAAAAATTTTATTTTACTTGACGTTCAACTTATAATAATATACAAAATTTTAAATATTCTTAAATATTTTAATTAAACAATTATTTTTATTTTCATTTTAATTAAATAATAATTAAACCAATTATTATTACAATTCAAAAATATTGTTTTTAATAAACTAAAATTTATATTATTCGGTCAAAATAAAATTAGAATCTATAATTTTAAGCGCACCATATGAACACACATTAATGTACATGCATAATTATCTAATTGTATCAACTCCATCTCCATTATACTTTTGAAAATTACGAAATTAAAACTTTAACACGTAAAATTCTTCTATTTAATTAAAATTATTATGAATTATTATTGAGTACTTTTTAAAATATCGATAATAGTTGAAGTATTTAAAGATATAATTGAATTGGGGATTGCAAAACAAATGATTTTCAAAAATGCACAAAAATTTAATGATAAATCAAACAAAAATTTTAAATTCAGTCTGAATAAATTAAAATATCTTTTAATATAGTACGAGAAATAAGTACAACAATCCAGGAGAAACATTATTATAAAATATTAAATATCTTTCAATTTATACCATTTTTTATATTTAAAGATTACTCCATACTCCCTTTCAACACACAAATCATATTAGACTAATTTTCAATTTTTCATTCTCAGTTTTGAATTTTCATTTTTGGTACTCTATTTATTAAGAAAATGTTTAAAACTGGCAAATTTATTAGGTTTGTATTAAATAATTATTCTATTCATTGAAGTTAACTTTAGATTTGTTTTAATTTATATAAATTATCTTAATTATAATTACCATATTGATTTTCAAATAGTTCAGATAATTTGGTTCATTTATCCTGTCTATAGAATTATAATACATATAAAACTAAGCAATTCTTTTATAAAAACTTTTATAAAGTAGTATTTGCATAAATTTTTAATTAAACTTCAAAATTCGTTTAAAATTAATAATTTTATAAATTAAATATTTGTGCATCTTAGATAAAAATTTGACATTAATACAATCATTTATTCTTTTTCAAATTCGACCCAAAATATCTCATATAATAAATAAAGCTTTGCTCAAATATTAATTTATCATTTTTCTTCAAAAGAAATTTAAACAATAACTTAAATTTTCTTTTCTAATAAAAAATAAAAAGAAATTAGTATTAACATTTATTCCGCGTCTGTAATATTTTCCATAAATGATTAAATAACTATTTATTTAAGAATTTGAAAATTCAATCTTAATTTACTCGTAAAATACCGTGATGATTATTAATGATTTAAAAATGCATTTGAAATATAGGCGTGTAATATAGCGAGTCATCGGTAAGGCGTCGTACAGGTAACTGTTGATAACTAAGTAGAAAATCTACATTATTGTCGATGATTCACTTCGTGGTTGGATGAATTATAGATAGTTCACACTGTTCATGGACATAGCTTGAGTCGACGAGAAAATTCGTGTTGTTGATTCGATAATATACACTTGAATTTCCACGTGCCGATTCCCGTGGGAAAGTATAAAGTAGAGTGATTATACATATAATTAATATCTTAGCACGGAATCAAAATGAAACAAATATTCATAATGCATTCCGCCATCAGGGACAATGATTAGTTCATCAATTAGTTCAAATTAATTTCCATGCATTGAATTTCAGATTTACTTCAACAGCTGGAATGAATTCTGAACTATCGCTTTCAGATAAAACAGTTTTATAAAGAGATAAAAGAGAGACGAATGAAAATCGACGAGTGTATTTATTAAAAATCATATTTAGCAGTACCAATTTTTTGGATAAACTGCTACTTATATTTGTTTATGATGCAATCCACGTGTATAAATCATAATTTATTAACCACTTAGCTTTACAAATAAATTAAAGTCAACCAAAGCGATTAAAATGAATTTTCAAATGGAATAATTGATTTGAATGCTGTAATGAGTGATTAATTCCAAAATATTTCTTCTTAAATTTTACCAAAGCGATTGATAAATCAGACATTTCATTCTTTCAGTTTACATTTCTTTATTATCAAACATAACATTGTAAATTTTTTCTTATAAGCAAGAATTACTTATAAGTCATGTATCAATTTACTATTAAAAATAATCAATTAATTTATGTTGTCCTTGTCATCATAATTATTTACATAATTGTTTCATAATAAATAAACACTCGTTGAATATTGATCAATAAAAAACAGAAATAGTTAATAAGCATGTGCCTTTGTCAACTAAAGTAACAGAAATAAAAAAATACGAAACTTTATTTCCTCATCACTCAAACCGTAATTGTGCTATATTTACTTCGCTTCGTCATATGCATGATTGTGACGCAGCAATACCCAACGTCGCGTGTCATAGAGCCCTTTTATTTTATCCTCCAACCCTCGAGTTCTTATGTCATACTCATTTTGTTCATGCGACACGAACTTATTAATAATTCTATGAGCATTACTTACAAATACTAATTCAAATACAAATACAAATTCTAATAAATAATTCTTAGAATTTTTGCAAACACTCAATCTAAGTGTACTACTTATAATAGTCGTTCAAAAAATTCAAAAATTTAATAAATGTTCAACTTATTTTTATACGATATAGATAATATTTATACATGTAAAAATTGATTTAGTAATGTAAATATAATTGTAAATATAATTCTATGAATGGAAAAATATTGAATATCGTTTAAATTTTAGAAACGCTTCCGTAAAATATAAAATTATTTCTGTTTAATATAGTAGATGCAAAGACAAAGAGTACAAATCAATAGAAAGTGGACACTTCAATCAATATCTGAGTATTTGACAAATTCTAATTGACTAAATTAACTGAGGAATCAATATTATTTGTTATATCATTATATAAATATTTGAATTTTTTAATGCACATCTTTGAACTATTATACAATACTACACCGTGGAATATTATAAAATCATATAAATTAATTTTTTTTCATTATAGAACATATTTTATAAAAACAAATATATAAATCTATTTAATACTCTTTATATTTATATAGCCAACTTTGACTTAATATTATACAATATATTATATATAATTTTTATGATAATCAAAATATGTGGTCAGATATTAGAAAAATATTTGACAAAACAAGAATCAGTTTAATAAATTATTTCAATACTTTGTTTTATTTAACACATATATATATATATATATATATATATATATATATATATACACATTCATTAGTATTTATATATTCATTAGTAATTTATACATAATTTAAAAATTACATTTATATATATAAATAATAATATGAAATAATACATATTAAATTATATATATGTATATATATTATAAAAATTTAAATAATCATAGAAGGTAAAAAATTTTAGAGAGTGAATTATAGAGTAAAAAGATTTGGCGGGAAATAATATTTTAATTGATTAATAAAATATTATACATTATTACAATAGTAATAATAAAAACTGAAATAAGCTAATTTAATATTTAGCAGAAGCTTTATTAAATTTATTTACAATCTTTAACTGAGCTGTCTTTAATTATATTCAATGGATTCTCGTTCTAGGTCAAATTACCAAACTAGTTCCTCCTATATTCCATAAATATATTTCTTTATTTCGCTTGAAATCTCTATTTCTATCCTCTATGCTTTCATTTTTCGTAACAATCAATTTTTGTTTATTCACTCGTAAACATTTCAATTTTTATTATTTTTCAATTTTTATTTTATTGTAATTATTTTAAAAACAAAAATATGA